GCTAATAAAGAAGAAAACCCTGGATGCGAAACATCAAAAGCCTTCCCTTTGACGCTGCTTTGCTGGAAATGCAAGAACGTTCAGCACCGCTTCACAAAACATTTATGCAATGGCTGCACTGGCTGGTGCATTGCTTTGATTAGATCTTGCAAGTCGCAACTCACAGTGTTGTGTACGGTTATATAATCCAAATGCAAATACATAGGACCACTCCGTACATTTAGAAGTCAATGTGAGAACGTACAAATGGTGCTGGGGACACTTATCCCGATGCTTTGCGCTTTGAAGGGCGTCTTTGCCCCCAACAATGTTAGCCGCCCATTATCTAAGGGTTCCAAAAACAGGGAACAACACAGCTTGCTTTTCCCTTAAACCGAATAAATGGTAAATGCATCAGAACCATTGCCATTTTACTAATTGCTTACCTCATTTCAGAAACAAATATTAGGGCTATATTTCGAAACATTTCGATTTTACATTGTCAAAGTAATGGAAAATAGGTTCAATGCCCTCTCAGCACATATCTACGAACATGACATATCTATGCTTACTATGACCATATCTAATATAGCACATCTGAACATATCTAAGCATATCTCGTACGAGTATATATATAGTCGACTACAGAATGATGTTCCACTCTTCAGAAGCTATCAGTTGACCGGAGCGCTAAGTTGTGCCGTTTATCACGCAATTAAGCGTGTCGATTGTGAGCATTGGGACAAAGCTATAATTTGTGAACTCAGCCCGTGTGATGCGGCACAGCCTACCACTCCAGGCAAATAATTGCCAGTGAAAAGTGGAACATCATTCTGTAGTCGACTATACATCACTTATTCAGATCAAATAACAACTGAAAACATGCCCACCTTTTCTTAACGGGTGTGAAATATCGTAGTAGACATCTCCTGTAACTTGTGATGTCCATTTACATACATACAAGAGAGGTGTTATGCCCCACTGACATAAAAACAAACTAGCCAATCTTTCTTGCCCAAAGAAAGTACCATATGTCCATATATATGTATATATAAAACTGACTTGTATAATGGATGGGCAGGAACCAGGCAAACGAGGCAAACAAACAGCAGCTGCTATCAGGTCTTCTGCCTATTGCCAGACTAAGCACAACTTGCCATATGTTCGCAGGCGTTGAGTTCAAACACAACATAAAGTTACCGAATGGCTGACGTAAAGATAAAACAAGCGTGGGCCGGTAGTAATCTCCCCGCGATCGGCCGGGTCCCGGCGCCGCCCGCCGCCCCGCCGGTGGTTTGGCACCCACCCTGTGTGTTTTGGGTGACGCTTCACCCTCCGACACGGGTCACACACGTGCTGTTGTTTATCCCAGCAGGGTCCCGATTGCGTCAATACGTCAGCGGGTGATCAGCTCGCCAAAAACAGATACACTAACAACATCCGATGCCATCACTGGTGAGATTTACTATTTGTTTTAATGACTACCGAGGCTGTCGTCGTCGTCGCAGTCGTTAACAATCGCTTGGACATTTAATAAGCATGCGTTAGGAGCATTCAAGTTGATCGTTTGTAAATGATCGTAAGATGTTTCGTAGAGCATTGGACAATGGACAAGCCGCTCATCCTAAATACATTAGATACCTAATATGATCTATTTTATTTCTAATGTCTATGCGCAAGGATAAGAAATGCAGTGGCGATATATAATCGCATAGCTTCAATAATTTACCGTGGGGAATGAATAAATTGCGGCGATTGCCTGATAATTATTATGGTGAGGGAAACAAAACGCAATTGCGTGCTTTGGTTCATTTTTCCATCGGGATAGCCCATCATTTTCCTGAGGTATGTGAGTTGCATTATAACGTCATTATTTTTTAGCTTATAGCTTGTTTCTGGATTACTACAGGAGACGAATGACGTTTGTGGTGTACCGACATGAATACAATACGAACACAATTGCGGTGATGAGTTTATGAATTGCCATGACGAGCCATGAATTGACATGATGAGTCGATACATCACCGAGACAGTCACTTTATCGCCGTAACAAGTCATCAAATTGTCGCAACGAGTCAACAGAGTGCCGAGGCAGTCAGCGAAAACCGTACACACGAGTCAATAAGGAATAATTCTACCACTGACAGCACACCTTGCTGTCCTCTCGGTGTACACTTACCCTGTTCGACCAGCTTGAACGCCAGCGTGTGCGGCGTGCCCTCGAGGCTCTTCTTCTCCTGGTAGAGGGCGGCCAGGTACTCAGACCAGCGCTCTTCGATCCTGCTGCGCTCCTCCATGTCTGCTGGCACACCGGCTCAGCACGGACAGTCGACGCGACTGGGTACTTTGGTCAGCTTCCTTGGTCAAAGATTAGGTCAGCGGTCCATTGTGAAAACGTTAACTAACCATCTGTCTGTCAGTCTGGCTGAAGATTGTGATCGCCCCTTCTGACTTTCCACCCCTCACGACGGGCCGATGCGAGGGCTTCTGTCGGACTCGGCACCTGCACGCGCCCCTCTCCGACCACGGCTGGCGGCCGACTGCCGGTTCCGATGGCGCCCCGTCGGCACCGACACGGACCGCGGCGCCGCCAGTCGACGACCGTCGCCGCCGACGAGCCTCCGGGGATGGCCACATCAGCCACCATTGGCGTCAAGTGTAACGATTTTTCGAGCTTGCATTCACTGGTTCATGCTGCCTGATTATGGTGACTGTTTGAAGTCAACATGACATCAGTCAAGCGCAGTAGACCGAACACACACACAGACAACATTACGCTAATTGTTTTAGCGTGGGTGTGTGGGACGCCCATGGGCCTCCCGCGATGCTAGGCTCCCTGCAGTCCGCCGGTCCATTTCTGCCGCCCATGGTGTTTGCTCAGGACTCCCTAAGGACAGCATACGCGCACATCAGCGTCAGACCATTGAGCAGCGTCGACGTCGGCAAATAGAGCAAGCCACCCTCTGTCAGGGACCAGTGACGGTCCAACGGGCCCACGGAGGACCTATTGACGGTGCAACGGAACCTTGGAGGGCCCCAGTGACGGTCAAACGGGACCACGAAGAACCTATTGACGGTGCAACGGAACCGCGGAGGGGCCCATTGACGGTCCCGCAATGACTTATGGGCCCAGAACCGTCAACAGATCTTCGGAGGGTCCCAGTGGCAGTTCAATAGACCCTCGGAGATCTATGTGACATAGTGACAGTTTGACGGTCCAACGGACCCGCAGAGGGGACCAGTGACGGTCCAGCGGATCCTCGAAGGGCCCAGTGACGGTCCAGCAGCGATTGATGGGTGTAGTGCTGTCAGCAGACCTTGGGAGGGTCCGGGCTTCAATGGAGCTTCGGAATGTCATACGGAATGTCATAGTCTGGCGGACCCATGGACTATTCACACACAAAAAAAAATTGTTGACACCGAGACGGTTTAGTTTACACCAAAGTATTTCATGATTATTGTAAGTACATAGACTATAATTACGCCCAGTGATTATACGTGTGGGATATTCGATTCGTAAGCATTAGCCCCGCTCCCTATCAACCATCTAATCAGATGTGATCTGTAGAAAGGCGGTTGTTTGATGTTTCGACCCTTGGCTTTACGGCGCTGCTTATTTCTTTTTTGAACGGGTGATAACACATCGGTGGCTCATATATCGATTTTCATATATTACCTACTAGAACTTACCTTCGGCAGTGTTTTCCTTTGATACGTTTTCCGTTTTTTTTTTCGTATCCTCATAAATTATTAATAAATTCCAAATAAATTGTACAATAAAGATGTACAAATATGAGTAAAACGTGAAGCAAAATGTGAATTTTATTGAATGCAATGAATTCAAGAAATGCAAGTGATAGTGATATCAGTTAACCTTCTAGTTCGCCCCAGTGGGGGGGCATATGTTACCACCCTGTCACGTTTTTTGCGTATAAATAAAAAACCGCGGCGCGTAGCGCCGCGCCGCTTGCATAGCTTTTTGTACATCAATTTTGGACAATGTGTGAAATTTTTGACCCCAGGTCATGTCAGGTCAGGTCACCAGGTCAAGTTAACTGACCAGTCCTAAAAAAAGTTTGCAATCATGTCCAGCCTGCAGTGTTTGTCAGAAAGGTTTTAAACTTGGTGGATTGCATGATGTTATGGGCGCCTACAATTTGTATATCTCGGATTTTTTATATCCGTGACCTAAGGTCAGGTCAGTGGCGTGACATTACCATTATAAGTCAATGGAGAAAAATGAAAATGCCTCTAGATCCGTGTGTACGCATAGGAACAGTCCAAATATTTCAGAATCACAATGATTTGGACCACCCGTGATGACCAAGGTGTTATTTTTGCTGATAGCCTCTACAAAGGTCATCCGAGGTCATTTGAGGCTACAAACAGATTTTTGCCAATAACTCGCGATTAGAAAGAGATAGAACGCTGGGGATGGCTTCATTGTGTTTGTCTTGTTGAGACGCATCGAATGATATGCAACATGACCTTTTCCGGTCAGGTCATGACCTTGACCTGAGGTCAAATTTTCAAGTTGACCTTTCAAGGTCAAATTATAGTTCATTCGACGCGTCTCGTCGAGAGGAACACGATTCTGGCAATAGAAATGTCGTGGCTTTTTCTAGTCAAAAGTTATTGTCGAAAAACACTTTGTGAAAAAAACAGCTATTTTTGGAGTTTTTGCCCTCTGGAGGCTAAACCGTTGACCTGAGGTCAATTTTAGACCTCTTCGAAAGAAGAGTTCAAAAGCTATCGATTGCTTTTCCATGCGTTTTTCTAGCTATCATAGTTCCTGAGATAAAAGCATGTTTTCTGAAAAATATAATGACATTTGGCAAATTTTGACCTTTGATGACCTCCAGTGACCCCAATATTGCCCCAAGATTAAAAATGACCGAAATACTTTCAAACGTACGCATTGAGAGCTATCGACTGCTTTTTACCGCGTCTTTCTAGCCATCTTAGTTTTTGAGTTAGAGGTGGGTGGTAACATATGCCCCCCCCCCCCCCCACTAGGGTGAAGTTGGCTGAGACCGCCACTGGGGCGCGGGTTAGAGAAAATCGGAATACCGATACCAAACTAAGTACCAACCAAATCCATTGGAAAATAGCGAAATCGAACCAACTAGGGAATATGAGGGAAATACTAATTTCTTACGAAATTCACAGTCCCTCCTTTTTACATTAGATAGCGAGGATTCATAAAAGCTCTTTTCACGACAGACTATCTGGCGATTGCTCTTAATTTGATCAAATCTGCAACAAATCTCTTTTACAGTAAATATCTTCATTATTCATATCAAGAAGTCCTTTCAATGTTTTATTAATCGAAAATAAGGTCGGTCTGACTAATTCAAAAATAAGGTATGTTACCACCTGTGCAAACCAAGCTAATAATTTTCAAGAAGCACAGCGAACCTGATCTGACTAAATCTGCACCAAATCTGCAACTAATCTGCACCAAATGTGTACTAGATGGCCGTCTTGAAAACGGCTAATACCAACAAAATACCAAACACATCAGGAATGAAATGCCAAATACCATCTCGGTATCAGTTAGTGATATCGGTATATCACAAATCGGTATCCGATTGACCTCTGCAGCAAGTGATCGGTCGCACATGCAGCACGCGAGGCCGTAGGGGTTTCCGTCGTTTGCCGTACAGATATCCTTGAGACCGTCTCTCTCGCAGCTGGTGACTTCAGACGCGGCTGTTGTTGATGATCCACTCGGTATATTCTGAAACATGGTGATAATGTCAGTCTCACGTTCAATGGTGATCCCAAAAGAAGCCTGGAACAGATCTCGCATGAGAAATGGGAAGACAACGTCGGCTTAGCGAATCTGTTCCAGATGCCTTTTCGAATGTCCATGTTCCCAGCGTACCTGAGACGCGAGCGTAGACGCCGGGGTAGTCGGGCGACGCGCAGAACTTGCCGAAGCTGACGACGCCTACCAGGGTGATCTTGCCGTTGATTTCGAGCATCATCGGCCCGCCGCTGTCACCCTGGGACACGATGAGGAAAGGGTCAATCATGTCCGTTGAATAGGTGTCATACAACTCGAATAGAAACTCAGACCTCAAAGAGCGTAATTCCAACTGATAAAACCTAGTGCCTTGGTGTTCGGCAGGAACAGGTGTTAGAGAAGTGGTCTATGTGCACCTACATAGCAATTTTTAGAAGAATCGGTTAAAAAATGTCGGAGTTATTCAAAATTTTATGACGTCACGACACACAAAAATTTTGAAAATGATTTTTTTTGGAAGTTCTAGACCTCGTACGGAAACAAAAAATAGCACCATTCGCCGTGAAAAACTGCATCAGATAGGCACCTTTTTAGGCCTTAACAACCAACTTCAAAATTTGACCTCACTTGACCTGACCTTGACCTGACCTCGACCTGAAATTCATCCAGAGGTGGTCCATATCACTTATTGAGTGTGCCTATTGAATTCTATGAGTAAAATGACCCATAAAACATGCGTCGCACATGCCCTTTTCTATATTTTGTTTTTGGTGACGTGACGTGACCTGACCTGACCTTGACCTTGACCTTTGAACGACATTGTATGCAACGAATATTGTCTTGGTAGTCTAAGAACACGTTTTGGGCAATAAGTCTCAGTCCATTCTTCGGCAACTACGGTGCAAGGCCGATACTGAAACTTGCATTTTGTACCCTTGACCTGACCTTGACCTGACCTCTGACCTACTTAAGCAAAAAAAATTGGGCTCTTAAGATCCGCCTTGTTGAGAGCTTGCGATTGCCGTTTTCCCCGTCTTTCTACGACCATCGGTTCGGAAGTTAGACAGGGGGGCAGAATCTGCCCCCCCCCCCCAGCAGGGCGCGTTTGGCTGAATAGCCCAGCGGGGCGCGGGATAGGTGACCAGGACGGGACATTCAGGGCCGGCCGGGCCCACCTGGTCGGTGTCTCTGCCGCCGTGGCCCTGACCAGACTCCTCGGGGCCGGAAAGTGTCAGCCGGGGAGGGGGAGGGGGAGGGTCCCGGTCACCGAACTCACATCGCAGGTGTCAGTGCCGCCGTCGCGCTGACCCGCGCACAGCATGTCGTCGTTGACGGTGAGGGTGATCCCGCGGAAGGCGTTGCGGTAGGCGTCACGACAGACCTCGTTGGGCAGCACCTTCACGGTGGCAACCTGCAGGGCGGTGGGCTTGGCGCCCTCCTCGGCCAGCGAGCCCCAGCCGGCGATGGTGACGTCGCGATCCAGCAGACAGGCCGGCCGGCCGGTGCCCGCACACGGCTCCTCAGGCAGACAGATGGGTCGCACGATGCCGCTCACCAGAAGGTCGTGCAGCCGGCCCTCCCCGTCCTTCAGCCTGGCGGACAGGGGGAGTCAGTCGCCCACCCTAGTCCCCGAGTCGGACGGGCGCGGACAGCTAGCCTGACGGACACTCGCCTTCTGTGACGTCGGTGTGTGCAGCCACATACCTAGCAGTGCCTACTGCTTTCTCTTCGCTTCTAGTTACAGGGTATGCGGCGTTTTCGTACATTGCTGCAAGTTTCTTCTCGGATCTTTGGAAACGTTCATATTTGTATTAACAAAATACCATGTGTGGTTACGTGGCGTAATTAACAGCATGCATCCTGATCAAATTATCACGAGAAAATAAATCCTTTCCACAGTAAATGTTTTATGTCTTGCTTGCTCATGTGTTCCCCATGACCTTCAACCGTCAGCATATATCATCTTTTTTAGTCGCTTTCACCTTGACCTGAACGATGGATAATGAGCAAAACATGTAGTGCTGTCTGTTGACATAAGATCGTGACGGTATTGTGGGATTGGGTAATGAAGTAAGCTCTGTTTATAAATAGCACTGTCGAAATAACCTTCAAACGGCATAAGTTCCAATTAACCTTAAAAATAACTTTCGCTTATATCGCGTGGTGCCGTCGCTAAGATTCGACGAAAGGCGATTAGCGACATGTAATTAGTGTGCCTTTTTCGGCACCTTCCTAATAATGCGCTGATGGCACTTTGCATGAATACTGACTCAACCTTATACCGAAGCCTGCTCTCTCGGAAGCCGAGCTGTGAAATCGCCTATAATGGCTGTCTGAAAGTTCGCTATATAGGACTAAGATGTTTTACGTTTCCGTTTTAACATCCGTTATATGCAGCATAGAGCGGTAGTTATCATGTATGTAAAATGGTCCAGGGAAAAAACGGTAGCCATGTATACCGAAGTTTCAGGACCAACCGTCGCTCTGTGGTATCGTACGGCGTCGTTTGAGCTGACCGGACTATAGCTCTGGCCCAACTGGCTAAGCACCATAACCCCGAACCGAGTATCTTACTTGAGGAGGGCCAGGTCATCGTTGACCGTCCTTCGGTTGTAATCGGGATGTCGGATGATCTTCTCGATGCTAAACTTGATCTGTCGCTCATCGTTCTTCCTCAGGTGTTTGTTGACGAGCACGGCCAGCGTGATTGCAGACCGGCTGAAAAACGGTATGTGTGTCACTGTACGACATAAAAGTAACATACTTGGGAGAAACGAACCCTCGGACATTGGGTCCCGCGTCCCTGCCCGTATGACAACAGCGCAATGTGGATTCAGGGAATGCATAGACGTGACGTTAGAGTTTTCTTTTCTTTGTCTTAACCCGCGGGTTGCTGGGGGGGCGTTAAACGCCCCCACTTTTTTTCGCCGGACCATAACATAAAAACGGCGCGCCGCAGGCGCGCCAAATTTTGGGTACCTGTAGGGAATTAACTGAAGTCTATTGTGACAAAGTTTCAAAAAAAATCAGTCGGAAAATTGTTGAGATATCGAGGTTTTAGTGACGTCATGAATTCTGAGTTTTCGACCAAAAACGGCATATGTTCAAAAAATCATATAAAATCACAAAATAGACATACAGACATGCCGTAAACGCCATTAGACTGCCAATACCGTAAACAATCTAATGGATATCTTCGATTATTGATTATCGTTCCGCATTTTCCAAAATCTTGAACTGAATCTTGGCAATTTGTCGTGACTACTTCACGACCATGATACATGCAGTTCTTAAATTGAAATTTTTGAGCCAAACACGTACCATATGATAAAATGAATATCACCATCGTGTTCTACGCCTTAACCCTCGCCGGCCGAGGGGGGGCGGGTGCCGCCCCCCCCCATAGGGTTTTTTCGCGATAGCTCCGAACACGCTGGCGGTAGAGAGCTGAAACTTGGCATACCTGACCTTTGATCCAAGCCGGATCATTTGACACCAACCGCATTTTTGGGTCAGGTCAGGTCACTGACCTATGACGTCATAAGTGAACCTCTGCACGGTCACTTATGACGCAACTTCGCAACGCCCTCACTGCCAGAGGAGATGTCACAGGGAAATGAAACTTGCAGGATCTAGTATCCATTATGAGTCCCACAACTTGTATATCTCGGATTTTTCCTAAAGGTCATATGAGGTCAGGTCATTTTCGTGACCTCACCATTATAAGTCAATGGGGAAAAATTCAAACTGCTATTCTGGCGCCGGGAACGATCTCCAACTATCTCAAGCACACAGAATCGTGATTTGATGCACTCCTTGCAAGGTTAGATGCGTCACTTTTGCAATGTTGACCTTGTGTGACGTCATTTATGACGTCATCAAGGTCATATTAGTTTTTCGTCAATAACTCTTGATCAAATTGAGCTAGCGAGTCGGGAAAGCCACCAATGGACTCAGGAAGACCTGACGAATCGAATGATATGCGACATGACCTCTTTCGACCTACTTCGTGACCTGGGGGTGCTGACCTGACCTTGACCTGAGGTCAACACCCCAAGTTGACCTGACCCGGACAAAAAGTATATCATTCGACGCGCCTGAGCGAGACAAACACGATGCTGCCAAAATCGGCGCTCTGCGGCCGTTTTTTGCGAAGTTATTCACCAAAAACTGAACCGTACCTTGGGGCACTTGACCTGACCTCAGAGGTCACCGGTTGACCTAGGACCTTAAAATCGGGTACCAATCTCTGCGTCTCGTAACGGCGCACACGCTCGTTTTTTCCGCGACGCGCTAGCTCCACCAGGGGCGAAACGGCGAGGGGGGGTCGTACCCGCCCCCCCCCCCCTCGGCCGGCGCGTATGTAGAAAACCAATAGGTCCGGCGAGGGTTAAATTACCCCTAAAACATATGTCACAGGATGCGAATATCAGTTTCGATTTTCGGGGATATGTGCCCACCCGGTTGACCTGACCTTGACCCTGACCTTTGCTTGACTGACCCCTACATGGAGCACACTCTTGTAGGCCTTATATGATGGATTGTGCACCGTTTTGACAGAGTTTATGACGAGAGGCGCCTATTGCGAAGTCCTGAACTCCATGGTACTGAAAGCCCGATTTCAGGTGTTTGACCTGACCTTGACCCGACCTGTGACCTCAAAATTCAACTTTAAAACACTCATCTGAAGCGTCTCGTCGCGTTCTTTCGTTTGCCGCCTCGTGCGTTTCGCTGCGCCTATTGGTTCTCGAGTTATCGGCTGGGGGCGTTTAACGCCCCCCCCCCCCCAGCAAACGGTGGGTGGCGAAATACCCCAGCAACTGCCGGGTTAATTTCCCCGAGACATTTTCTTTGTCCTAATTGGGCAACATTTGAATGGCCAAGCGGCGAGTGTTCGGATTTCGGACCTTGCCATCGAGCGTGGCATCATATTCGAGACCCTGGGGGGCGAGGGGCTGAAGGGGAGTAACAAGAGATCGGAGTTTAACCCGCGCCCTGGGGGGGGGGGTCTGTTTATAACGCGACCTGGTGGGGGGGGCTATTTTTTGCCCCCCCCCCCTCGTATCTCCGAAACTACTGGACGGATCCGCAAAATTCAAACGGCGTTCGAAAGGCCTGTCAAATTTGTCGCGAGAAACAAAATTTCATTGACCTCGGGGTCACCGATGACGTCACAGGTCAGGTCAAAGATGAAATGTTTCACCGTTCACGGGTCTTCTAGGGAATGCGCTATAACACCGAGGAAAACGCATTTTGTCGAGAATCAGCGATAGGGCGTCAGTTGCCTAGTAGATATGTTGCTATTAGAGGTCACTGACAATACCAGGTCACGTCACAGGTCAGGTCACCAAGGGTCACAGGTCAGGTCACATGAGCCCAACTTTACTAAGGTTGTGTGATGCATGTTTTATGGTCAATTTTTCATTTCCAACTCAATGGTGTTGGTTATAAGACTATCAGGTACGGCTTAGGTCACTTTCTGGTGAAGTTCAGGTCAAGGTCAGGTCAAGGTCAGGCCAAAAAAGGTTAAATTTTAAAGTTGATAGTTTTGCATAAAATGGGTATTGATTCGATGCAGCTCGTCACGGGGAGTCTAATGGTGGTCTTTGTTTTGCGCTACGGGGTCTAGAATTGCTAAAAATTGAGTTTGAAAATTTCACGTCATCAATTTTGAACAGTTTTTTCGCTATAACTTCGCCAAAAAAAGAGGTATCAATCTCAAATTTGGTATGTAGATGGAAGGCGGTGAGGACTATCACATATATTCCGGTTTTTGCGAAATTCAAAAAACTTTTTGGAGTTTTCGATCATTATATCCAAAATAATTATTTTTTGATTTTGGGGGGTCAAAATCCAAAAATTTCAAAAATCCGAGATAGCAGTTTTGTAGACCTGTTTATTCTACAGCTTTTATGTGCTTATCATTATTCTGTATTTGCAACGGTATAGGCTTGACAGCTCTTCCCGCGAAACCCTTTTTTGGGTCGAAAACGGCAGAACATGACGTCACTCTGACGTCATTTCCGGCCAATCTATCATAGCCTTTGGAAAAATGTTTGGTCACCATGTGTAAAATTGATGTCCGGGAGGGTACTGAAAGTTTGGTGACGATCGGCGCAGCGGTTCTGGAGATATATCGAAAAGTCTGGAGGGGGGGGGCAAAAAATAGCCCCCCCCCCCACCAGGTCGCGGGTTAACTTTTCCCTCTCACATAGCATCTTGGAACGGTAGGCGGGGGGGGGGAGGAGACTGCAGTGCAGGAGCAGGGCAGCTGGTGCTGGGACGTTACCTTATCAGGCAGTGGGCGGCGGTGACGACGAAGCGCTCGTTGATGATGGCACCGCCGCAGAAAGGAGCGGTACTGAAGAAGTTGGCAACGCCGACCTGAGAGAGACAAAGACAGATTCAACAGGTGGTCCCTATCACAGAAGCAACGAATCGCGACGTACGATACAAGCCGATGGGTGGTGAGATTCCTTATGCTCGTGTTCATCGTTGTATCCATGCCAATAACTGCATTGGGTGATCGATACCCTGGCACTTTTATAGCCGAAGCGACAGTTACTCCCCTGCTTTAGTTTCACCGACCAGACAAGGGAGCCATCCGACCTCCCTGCTTATACTTTACTCACCAGCCAGGGAAACTGTCCGACCTCCGCGGTCGCTCCTCCGACGATAAAAAGCTCATGCTCCACGCTGAGCACGCCTTCTTCCGACGTCCCCGTCTGACGCTTCCGCCGCGGCTTCAGGCCGCACATCGGGTCGTTTATCTGGATTTTACCGGAGTCCATGTTGCGCTTTACTCTTTCTGTGAGCAGTGCGGCGACGGGACCCGGCGCCAAGCCTAGCCCTTGTGTGGGGCCAGGTCCAGCCGCAGAGCCGAGTCCCAGGGCAACGCTGGGCGGCATGAGCGACCGGTTCTGCTGGCAGGTACTGAAGGTCACCGCCTGCGGGGGGAGGTATAGGGGCAGGTCACCGGGCGGTTGTGGGAAACTGGCAACGTTAGTCGTCTTCTCCTGTATAGGACGCCCGGCAATGTTTTGCATCAAAACGCGGTGTATACCATTTTGATACATCGGGTTGGTCATTTGATTTGATACCTCCACAGTGTTAGACAATCGTCGTCATCTTTTCAGAATCGTCACTTCTCAACCGTTCTATCCGTCTCGATTAGACGTTACTCGGCCTCCCGCCCGACCCACCTGCAGCAGAAACAGCAGTGCCAGCGACGCCAGGCCGGCGCGCACCTCCCTCGGGAACCACATGGCAGCGGAGACGGCGGTGTGCGACACCGTCAGTCTCTGAGTTCGGGCCGCGAGTGGCGCCCGTCCGTTCGATGAGCAGCCAGACCGGCCGGGGATGCCGCCCGTCCCACCGGTTGGCCTCTGCTGTGATGACCACCGGCGGCTGATATCGCCACAAAACTTTCAGGACCCCTCCGAGCATCAGTTTTACACCTTGTGATGACATATTTTTCCAGGGCCGTTGATAGGTTGGCCGTAAATGACGTCAGAGTGACGTTATGTTCTGCCATTTTCGACCCAAAAATGGTTTTGTGGGAATAGCTGTCACGCCTGCAGTTTTGCAGGGAGATAAAAAATTAATATTAAAAAGGTGTAAAATTAACAGGGCTATTATCTCGCGTTTTTGACGCTTTTCGATTTAGGCCCCAAAAACTAAATCAAAATTGAATAATTTATACCATAAAATACCAAAATTTTCCAACTTTAAAAACGCAATATAACTATGCTACAGAACTATTAGCCTGCTATTAACATGCCAAATTTGACCTCAATTGCTCCATTTTGGCAAAGTTTTGGCAAAAAACTACTCAACATTTACGCCGTAAAATTTTTCAAACTCATTTATTTTTGCCGTTATAGAGCACGCAGAGTAAAATGAAGAGCCCCATTGGATTCCCCGTGATAAGCTGCATCGAATAGGTATCCTTTTTATGCAAAAATATTAGCTTTAAAATTTGACCCTTTTTACTTGACCTTGGCCTGACTTCCACCAGAGCAGAACCTAAACCGGCCCTAATGATCGTGTAACCCACACCAACGATTTTTTAAAGCGTAAAATTGGCCATAAAATATGTATCACATGACCCTACACTCAGAAAACACTTTGAGAACATTTTTGAATAAGGGCTCATATGAGTGCCAAAACAGGGCTCAAATCTGTATGATTTTAAAATCGGGATCAGTTAGGCGCCCTTTTCGGGCTCAAAGTACATTAGCCCCGAAAGCGGCATCAGTTCGTCTTCCTTTTCGGGCTCAATTCGAGCTGCGTTTTAGGGCTCCATACGACATTCCGCCATTCCGTCTTTTGCTGTTTTCAGTGCCATGTGTTGGTGTACCTACCGCCGTGATTTCAAAATGAATGGTAAGTTATTAGTTATCAGTTATCGCTATCTTTTAGAAAAAATCAAGATGTTGATGCTCATGCCATTTTAATCCCTTATCAATTAAAATTGTGGTGGCATTTGTTCAGAAAAGGTCTGATCTACAATTGTGGCGCCGTTGATACGAATACGCACGGGTTTGATTATTCGTCTTTCTTGTATTTGCGCCACATGAAAGCATCATATCTGGATTCAGGATGTCAAATAGTGTAAGAATGTGCAAAAATTTTGTCTGGTTCTTCGTGATGATGTGATTGAAGCAATGCTTTCAAGGGTAGGTAAGGATTTTGTTACTTGTTCGTAATGGTTATCTTGATGTTCAACTAAAATTAATCCTAACCTTGCCTACTAACCTATTAAGTTAAACTTAGTACCAATACCTACCAACCTACAACCTATTTGGATCTTTCATATACTTATAACATGCTGCTGCTTCTGCTAACATGCTGCGGAATGCTGGTTGACATGATGGAATGCTGGTATGACAGTGTTCCATGTTTCAGAATTTTAGGTGAATAACCACACATGATGGGGAAAATGTTTTCATCCTAAAAATATGACAAGTGGCTTTATTTCATCTTTGCTAAAAAAAATATGTCAAAAGTTTGATTCAACAGCCAGCTGCCAGGTTACGCATGACTTGACAGTTGATGCATCTACTCTACATCATTTCATTTCAGATCCTGTGAAGGTTCTGACAAAATCTGAGGTAAAAATGGCATTATGCAGTTTTGCGGAAAGACTAAATCTATCTCATTTTGTCTTCAGATTTTTTTTATTGGGACACCCAATTGAAATCCAATTTTAGAACACTGTGACACCATGCCTGTGTGCCAAGTAAGAGGAAGGGTCTACAAGTATACATCAAGATAACCAATTATGGACAAGTTGAGACTTGAGTCATGAGCTCTTATTTGTGGTTACAATACCTTCAACTGCATGATTTTGCACAACTTCCATACAGGCATCCAGACTGGAAAAGGTTCAAGTCCATACTTATTCTGGTGCTTGAATATGGCAGTTCAAAGATGGAAGGCATATGATGCTACAAAATGAAAAAAATAATTCAACTTACAAAAAATAGGTATTCATATCTATCCTAAACTAAACTAACCTAAACTTACCTAACCTAATCCAACCCAACCCAACCACCCCAACCAGCCCAGCCCAGCCATCCCAACCCAGCCCAGCCCAGCCCAGCCCAGCCCAGCCCAGCCCAGCCCAGCCCAACCCAACCCAAAACCTACAGTCTAAAACCTAGAGCTAAAACCTGCAGCCCAAACTGGAAAACATCCATATGGTACGCCGGACGCCCGTGAAGCCGTCATGCGCCGAAGTTCGGCGCAAGCTATTTTGCAATTTGCGCTGAAATTTCTGCATTATTTGCGCCGAAGGTTAGTGCCCTTTTGCGTCAAAATTAAGCCACTTATACAAAAAGCACGTTTACATCTGCTGGCCAAGGTTTTATAAACCAGACAGAACGCTCTGGGCCTTAACCACTCCTGACTCCCATGTTTGAGCGTCCAAATTAGTTGATGTTTCCATGGAAGCTGAATACCACAATACGTGTAGCGCACTGTAGCATCGTGCCGTGAAATAAGGCTCGGGACGGAAGTTCCGGGGTCACAAAAATTGGTGTGGCGGTGTTGTCGCGGCTGGCGGGCTCCAGCAAGGGGTTTAAGTTTACGACACCACTCTTGTTTCAGGAGAGGTGTCAGCGATTCGAGACTACTTGGGCATGCGGGCAGCGGGGTCGGCGTGGCTGCCTGCGGCTGCGGCCACACATCTTGGCGTCCTGGAGGCGGAGATGCTGATGGTGGCATGAGTCATCACTGGCTGCCCGATTTCCATGCTCCAAGACTCGCCGTGAGGGCCGAGGCGGGCGTCGTGCCGATGGAGAGATGAGGAGGGATGCGCTGGCATCGCGCCTACTGGCGAAGGCGCTCTCCCTCCCGTCGGAGGACCCGCCGCGTCGTGGCGGAAGCCCCCCCCCCAACCGTGACTGAAGTCAGTGACCGGCTGGAGAGAGCGCGGGGGAGCGGTGTGGGACCACTGGAGTGGCGCTGCCCGCCAAGGCGCGCTTATCCACGAGACTGCCCCCGTAGACGCCAACAGACGGCGTCACGGTCCACCTGGACCTGCTGCCGATCGGGGCGTCCGCGACAGCGAGGAGGAGTGCTGCGGAGGCGTGACTGGGAGCGCTCCCCCAGCGTGCGACGTGGGCCTGGGTCGACGGGTCTGCGACCGGGGGAGTAATAGGAAGGCGGCGCTGGGGTCCTCACCGAGCACCCAGACAGTACAACATTGGTACTGCGGGAGGCGGCGGGGAGGATTTGCTCCATTTACCGATCTGAGATGGTGGCGCCCAAAACGGCAAAGCAACATCTCCTGAAGCACCCGTCCTTCGAGGAAGACCCCATAATCATTTGCTCCGACTCGCAGGCGTCGCTGGCGACGCCACGAGGTGGACAAGTGGCCCAGACACACCCCCCCCCTCATCCCCTAGGTGCCGCCATCTGGGAGTATATGATGGCCCTAGTGGCTGTAGGGGGCCGAAGAATCCACCATAGAAGGAGGGCGGCGATAGCCCGATTAAGCTGGGCGTCCAGTGGAGCCTCGGCTCTATCATGGGCATTGGGCAAGGACTCTGCGAGCACCCCCGTCTCCTCCATCTTCGACGGCACTCCAGTCAGAAAGCTGTCCCCACCCGAGTTTCCCAGCAGCATGGGCCACATGAAACCGAACAGCGCCGAGCCGCTCGACGCTGAGGACCAGGCGAGAGTAACAGTGAAAAGGTGAAACGCTCGAAACGGCGCGCGCCGCCGGCCGAGGGCGCCGAGCCGGCCCAGGCCGGCTGCGGGTCAAACAGAAGCCGTCTCCGCGGCGGCCGCCCAGTGACAGCGACTCGGACTGACGTCGAGGCACCGCTGCCGCCTCCGCCGACCAACCCGCCGCCCAGCAAGGGCAGTTTGAAGGCGGCTGCGCCGGTGAAGGTGGCGCGGCCTGGCAGGGGCCGCGGCCGGCCCACTCCCAGCTACCCGTCCCGCGAGGTGCTCAGTACCACCGACTCGTCCGATTCTGAGGCAGCGCCGTCGGCGGGCCGCCGCCAGCAGTGACGACGACCGGCTGGCGGCGTTCGCGCGGGACTTGTCCGACTCCTGGTACTCGGACTTGCCGCCCAAACTGGACGCCGGCGGCGTGAGCACCAGCAACGCCAATAAAAAGTCCACCTTCATCCGGCTCTTCTCGCACCGTGTCAAAAGGACTACGCCGCGCGGCCGGCCGGCCAACTCGAATGAGCGCAGCGAAGGGCACACGTCCCCGACGGCGGCACTGGCGCCTCCCGCCGCGCCGCTGCCGGCGTTGCTGGCAACGCCGATCCAGGCCCATCGATTTCTACTGTTTTGTTGCCTACGTGCCGCTGCCGCCGCTCAGCCAGCACAATGGCGTGCCGGTGTTGCGCTGTCGGATCGAAAAGCGGCTCGTGCAGCGGACGGACGGGTGCGGCCCGCGCGATGAGCCGCCGCCGCACACCGAGCTGCGCCGCACGGACGTGAAGGTGGAGCTGGCAGCGGCCTGCTCAGTCCCCTCAACGGCGTCGACCGGCTCTCCGGCGATTTGCGGTCAGAAACGCCGCCGCTGCTGGGACCAAGGTGTCAGAGCGCGGCGCTGCCCGTGAGACGTTAAGTTAGCACAGGCAATGTCGTCTGCACTCCTTGCAGTTCATGTTGAATACACAACCATGTTGCGAAGTAATAGGCGCCGGGTTTTTCAGTTCATATAACTTTTTCCCTGGCTATTACACCCCACAACCGAACACTGACACCTTGCACAAGTATGACTGTGTGTATGAATGTTAATAAATACATGAACCAATGTTGTGTTTTCGGTTCCAGTACCTTCTTTGGGCACCTCGGCAACAAGTAAGTAATCCGTTAGCTTTGCCACACCTAAGATAGGCTCCCACGTTGTTATTTGCTCCCGGGTTAACATAAACCGGTTTAACGTAACTTTTGCATCCCGGCCAAAATTGCCGGTTAACTGTCCCACCGCTCGAGACTGGCGCTAGGCTGGCCGAGCAAAAAAAAAAGTTTGTCCGCGGCTTCGTCTTATTCGCAGCTGCTGGACACGGGGGAGGGGGGAGGAGGGGCTGCATCGGGCGAAAAGCGGGCTCTGGTATTAACTGGATTTTTTGCCAGCTGGCGCCGTATGGTGGCGCTAGCAGAGCTTCTTACATATCAATGCTAGATATAAAAGAATGAATATTTACCAATCAATTTTTCATTTAAAGCCATTTGAAATATTTATGTCCATCCTACTACCGCGCTTAGGTATATCTAAAATTAAATACCTTTCGTGCGTCGCCAGCTGGCCAGCCAGCTGACGCAATCCAGCTTTTACCAAAGCCCCGAAAAGCGATGACGTGAGCCCTAATATTGGCTTCACCACACAATTTGAGCCCTCAAACTGGAATCAGGTGAGCTCGAAAATGGGGATCAGGCTGAAAACTGGTATCATAGTGAGACTAGTTTTAGAGCTTGACACCGATAATGGGTACTGACTGAGCTCTGTTTCTGCGATCAATGATACCGATTTAAGGGATCGTATGAGCCCATGTGGCGCTAGCTCAGAAAGTATTCTCGAAATGTGCTGTCTGTTTTGAATATGGTACATTAGCCCGAAAACTGGTCTCTGAGCCCGAAAATCGGGACACTGTTTTCTCAGTGTAGTGTAGTTGGGTCCATATTGTGCC